ACGAAAAATAATAATAAACCAAACGACAAAAAGCCGAATACGGGAGAAAATCGCTCGCGTACAAAAACATACGCACGTTGCGAAGAGGATGGACGATCGCCACCGTGTTTTTGACAATGTTAATTTCATCACGCGCCCGCAAAACAAAATCCGCGCGAGTATCGTTCCCGCGCGATAGCCGTGCCATCATCGCTATACATATATACATATATATAATGGTATATAGTTTTTAATGTAAAAAAAAAAAAATTTTCGTTTTTTTTTTTTCTGTAAAAACCGCACGCATCATATTGTTATATATTATATTCGTATACGGCTAGAACGCCGCGGGAAACGATATTTTTTGTGTATAAACGGGGTCGATGGGGGGGACGGGGGGTTGGGGGTTGTGGGGCGGCGGGCGCGAATTGTTATCGGGGGATGGGCGAACGAAAGCGGCCAAAAGTCGGCTGCGCGATGGGAAAAAATTAACCGGAACGGCCTTTTAAAGGCGGCGGCGGCGACGGCGTAGAAGCCATCGGGAAATCCGCGGCTGGGCCGGATAAAAAAAAAAAAAAATGACGTAAAATATCCGAACGGGAAACGGGATGATGTTCGGAGGCGAGCGGACCGGGCTACCGGCCCTCTCCCGCCGGGAATAGCCCTCGCGGTTTCGATCGGGATACTGTGGCCGCCTACAGGTACACCGCCTCTTTTTGAAGGGGCGAAAATCCCGGGCGCCCCCCCCCCGAGGACGCCGCTCGCGGTACGTGCGCTTACGCCGCGAGTCGAACCGTTTTGTCCGCCGGGTCCGTTTATCGGGGCCGCGCGTTTCGTACGCGTCCGGCCGAAACGCGCACCGGACACACTCGAGACGCGCACTCGCGTAACACTTCTCGCGCGCGCATAATCGATTTTTAACCCCCCCCCCCTCCTCCCCCCCAGAGATCGTACTCGACGAAATCCGTGCGTGACCGGCTGCCCGTACGCGTATCACAATAACGTTTTTCCGTTGTTAAACAAACCGTGTGCGCGCGCGCGGTAGGCCGCGTTATGATATTAAAAAAAAACGTACGAACGAAAATCCGATATAATTTTAACCGGTGTATAAAACCGATACCCGGGATATTATTATTATATTATCCGTAGTATCGTCGTCGGTTTTTTTTTTCTTCTCTTTTTCTTTCTTTTTCCGGTCGTGTACGCGCGGCGGCGTTTTAATTTACTCCTCCTCCTCTTCCGACGACGACGACGACGGCGACGAAGACGGGCGGTAGTCGGTAGTAGTAAAAACAAAAAACAAAAAAAAAAAAAAAAAAAAAAAAAAAAAAACAACAAAAACAAAAAACTCCCACGATTCGGAGCGCGGCTATCTTTTATGAATGAAAACGACGACGACGACGACGACGCGCGCGAGGAAACAACGCCGCCGCCGGTATTATTATTATATTTTCGATATATCGAGTGGGTAATGCCGTGATGATGAAAACACACGGTCGGTTAGGTATACGCGGCGCGTAGCGAGAGAAACGGAATGACCGAGAGAGAGAGAAATCTCTCGTTTTTCCGGAGATACACGCTGGCCCGCGGTGGCGTCCGACGGAGGAAACGCGCACGGCGTTTTTCATGAATGAAAACCGTCGCGTCATCGCGCGCGCTAAACACGATAATAATAATAATAATAATAACATTATACGATTATACGCGCGTAGAGAAGCGTCGTTTTTTTTTTTTTTTTACTTTCGTCTTAAATATTATTCTATTGTTACCGAGCGGTGTCGAGCGAAAAAAAACCGTAAATTTTCGTTCGTGTTTTTTCTCGTTTTTTTCCCTCCCCGTCGGCGCGGACACCGGAAACACGCCGGAGACGCGTGAAAAATCGACGCCGACCGGCTCCCCCCACCCCCCACGCGCGCCCCGTGGAGCACGCGCGTCTCGACCGCGGCGCGCGCAGTGTCTCGCGCGCGTTTTGCCCACCTCGCGAAAACAACCGCCAAGCGAATGCGAACGACGCGCGGCGTTTCGCGTGGATTTTTCCTCGGCCGCCGCCGCCGCTCTCCGCACAGACGTATTATTATTGTTTACCGGATTATCTCGTATATTATTATAATAATATCGCGTATGTAGAAAAAAACAAAAAAAAAAAAAAAAATCCCGCAAACTGGTATATTGAAATAATTCGAATGAAAATATCGGCGGCGGCGGCGGGAATAATATTATTTGTACGCGCGCGCATTATTATAATAATAATTCTCCGACGGCGGCGGCGGCGGCGGGCGGAGCACACACGCCGCCGCTAACCGCTACCCGTTTTGTGCCGCCGCGCACCGCGCCGCCGGGGCTATTGTTGTCTCCCGAGTCCGCCGAAATTGATTGATTTATGAATATTATTATAATTCCGCAAATTCCCCGTCCGTCCGTCCGTCCGCCCGCCCGCCCCCCCCCCCCCC